TACAAACTGGATGGCATGCCATGAGCGTGGCTGTAGCACGTTTCCTGATACGCTAAAGTTAGCTTAGCATTAGCTCGTGAGCTCTACTTACCCTTCTTTGTGCAACTTCAAATGTCGAACGAAGTTGGAAGTTGTTGCGTCTCGGTCCGTAATCTTCGACCCACATGTTCTGCATACTGCAATTCGTTTTTTGTTGACCACTTCATAGTTTTTGTACCCGAATGAAATTATCTTTAGTACCATAGTTGCAGAGTGCTGCTTTGTTTACCTTCCTGGATTCATTTGATTGACTACTGTGCTGACAGGTCACACATACATATACACACAGGTGCAGAGAGAGAGGGGGAGGAGTGAAATGAATGGATTAGTGCACGCATTTAAAAATGTTTTAATATTTGGGTTTGTATCAAGTCTTTTCAAGTCAAAGGGCTCAAGTCCGAGTGAAGTCACAAGTCATTGGTGTTAAAGTCCAAGTCGAGTTGCAAGTCTTTTTACATTTTTTCAAGTCGAGTCTAAAGTCATCACATTAATGACTCGAGTCCAACTCGAGTCCAAGTCATGTGACTCGAGTCCACACCTCTGTGAGATAGTATTTATCTTCTAAAAATAACTGTAGTGTATATGATTGATAATGAGGGTGATGCTCCCAAAATGGTGCATTTACCTAAAATTCAATATGATGTGATGACAACTTTACATTTTCTATTGCAAGACTAAGTGATGAATTTACCATGGGGGTCTTCAACACCTCTTGTATGTGCAAACCATGGAGCACTAAATAACACCAACCTGCTCTAATCCAGTCAAATGCACAGATGTTCCACCCTCCAGCAACAGGTTATTATTTGCAGTTCACCTGTCAATTAAGTGTGTCACGAAGCTCTCAAGTTTGTTTTACATCAGTCATACTGTGCATTGGTGTTAGCAGCTGTTTTGGATAATGTTGCATTGAACATTAGAAGTCTTCACTTATATGAACAGATAAACATTTACCAGAAGCAGGAAGGTCGTTGCCAGACTTTCAGTGAGTGGCTTGCAACATGAGCCTGATTTTACCAAATTTTTGTTTACTTTTCAGCAAATTAAGTACGCCACATTAGCTATTGGCAGTTGCTGTTTACTATGTAACATTGGATGTACTGCCAAGTATCAGTGCATACTTGATGATACTGGGGAAAACTCAAAAATGGATTTATTAGGAGCGTATTCATTCTACTATTTGTAAACATATTTGTGGATGTTTATGTGCAGTGGACATCTGAAACAATGAAATGCTTGTAAAGTCTAAGTAACACTGAATCTACAAGTGTATCATGTCTGTGTGTTCAAATTTGACTGAAGTAGGACCAGACTGATTTTTGACACGGGCACTAAGGGGTTTAACATAGCCCACCTGAATTCACTCCATCAATGACAGTGTCAATAAGCAGTCCAAACTACAATAACCAACTTTACAACACCTGATTACAGGAACCACATAGTCTACATACAAACGATAATATAAGGCTTGGATTTGTGAAAAAAGATAGTTAGTGAGTGTGAGTGTACTAATGAAATCAGTTACTGAGATCTAGAAATGCAATAATACTGCTAACACTGAAGAAGTACATAGATCCATATAAGGAATTCATAAAGTACAGATCCAAGAAGGCGGAAGAAAAATATAAGTTACATAAGAACAAATTAATTGCGTTATTGAGGAGATGTAAGAAACAATATTACTCTAAAGTATTAGAGGATAATAAAAATAACATGAGAGGTACTTGGAATATATTAAATAAATTGATTAGGAACAGTTCCAGCAGGAGTAACTACCCTCAATATTT